GCTGAGCGGCCTGAGTTGTTGGCGGATGAACTCGCCGTATAACCAGGCTTGAAAAGCTGCCGGTCGGAACCTGAAGTCCGGCGTCTTTGACTTTAAGTGATCCTTCTTTTGGGTGTCTTGTACAGTTGCTAAACCTCGAAGGTTATTGCAGCCTTTTAAAATCTAGAATGATGAAATGGGAGCTCCAGTATAGCGACCTCACTTTTCTGCGAACAGAAACAGCATACAGCTATCAGACCAGCCTTTGTTGATTGTAAATAATCCAGAGATTGTTCTTGTTTCTCCAAAGCGAGTTGGTAGCAAAAAGATATTGTATCAGATATTTCTGATCGTTGTGCTGTGTTGTGTTTAGGAAGATAAGTAAGGATAATAAATAGATAAAAATTTAGCGGGAGATATGAAATGGGGTATTAGTGTGGCAGAAAATGGGGGCCTACAAACATACTATGAAGAACAAAGTGTATGGGGAACAATTCTAAACCCTAAGAATTTTAATTGGATATTCTGTTATGGCATATCTAAACCCAAATTGTACCCAGTGTGTCTTGCCTTGTCTTGCTTGACCTAGGGAACTACCGTTTTTTGCTAGTCTGTGCTGGTTCCTTCCCCCTCCTCTTTTGCTTTTTAAAAGTTTTTAAAGAGGAGAGCGTATAGCTAATCAGAAATTCTTATTTATCCCTTTATTGACCTAATAGCGAAGACACAAATTATTCCCCACCTCGAACTTGCTGCCCTCCCCCTTTAAAGCCTCTCTAAGCCTAATGTGCTGTTCCTGTTAGATTCTCGCCAGCAGGCTGCATAGTGCATGCATCCTGGGTTGCCATGGAGAGCTGTGCGACCAACTCAGAATTTAGAAGGACGTGCTGATCCTTGCATCGCAAAAAGACCAGTTGAGCGAGTGCATGCTCTGCTTGAACTTAGCATGAAAACTTCATACTTTTCTTTCGTTATAAGTCATAATTTTATTAGAGCTGAAAACATCAGCAAAAATGTTATCTTCACAATGCAGTCCTCGTAAATTCTTTGCTTGTGGATCTTACTTGTGTGTTTAAACTTCTGCGTGCATGTGCCATTGCTCCTTCATACCAGTTCTGTCGATGGTTACCCAAACTGGAAGGACTTTATATAAAGCTTGCACAGAAAATATTTGACACTGAAGTCAGCTTCATAAGACTAGAAGAGACCTATGTAAGTCAAGTCTATTGCTTTCACAGTTTATTTGCCCTTGTAACTCTTTCAGGCATCTTAAAACTATTTAGGACTGTATGCTTCTGCTGCTGGAGATTTACTTCACAATTTGTTGGTTAGAAGGTCAGACTAATTTTTGAAAAGGTATTCATGGCCATCTTTGTTCCTGTGCTGTCATTGTCTCTTGGCCTAGATGGTCCTCTTTCATCTTTTAATACAATTTTTTTTTTTTTTTAGTTGAGGCATTTAGAGACGACAGTTCTTTCCTCTTTTAGACTTTCTTTTTGGTAATTAGCAGGGCAGGCCAGCCTCTCCTCCTAAGAATGCTGAGTAAAAGCGTTGCCAAAAATTGGAAAACCTGTTTATTTTGGCTTATTGTAGAGGAGAACGGTAAAATTCTAAAAATGAGTCTCACTTCTTATACCTTGTCAGGGTGGTAATTTCTTGTTATTTTGCTAGAATTGTTTCAAGTGTCAGTTCTGGGCCTTTTCTCGTTAACTGACGGCAACAGACCCATTTTTCTAAACTGATATTCCTCAGATCCCCCTGTGCACTATGATTTGGAGAGCATCTCTGCTCATCGGTAGTTAGGAAAAGGTATATTAAGAAACAGGTGTTTTTCTAAAAACTAATGCTACCATCAGTAGGTTTAATTATTGAACGTATGGAGGAGTTTTTCGTGTTTTACATAGTTTATTGGGATTCTTGTGTTTTATTAAAACAAGTGTTTTTAGTTTCTCCTAGTTTTTTTGTAAGAGTTACACAGTCTATTTTACTTTCCTCAATAGTTACTCATGCCCAGATCTGATAACTATAGTCTTGTTTTTAGTTGTCTTTGGTGTTAACATCTTAATGAATTTATTTTCATTTAAGGAGTCAGTATTGATCACATGACTTCCGGAAAGATTAACATCTTATGGCTATCGCTGTTTGTGTGAATGAAAGAACAGAGAGAGATCAGGTGAAGAAAAAAACCCGTTGACTTTTCTTTAGGCATTTAATAGCAGTTATAAAAATGCATCCCCCCCACGCCCCCAAAAAAAGAAGAGAGTATGGTGGACCTACAAAGTTATGGTAGACCTACAAAATTAGGAATGTAATGTACAGAAAAACAGGAATGTAAAAATTGGTAAGAGATGGTCTGAAACACATGTAGTACCTGTAAAATAATCCCAACAGATAATTAATGTCAAGTTGCCTCCTAGGACTCAAATCTGGTAGTGTTTGGAGAACGTGGCTCTTGTTCATATAATAAAACTTGTGCGTTATATAAACCTTCTACCAATACGGAGGAAAAACTTGTATGCAGCTGAATTACAGGGAAAATGCTTATGGTCTACCACAAAGGCTCTTAAAATCTTCGCAATTTCTTTTCTGTTTCTGCTTACTTACGTTTTCTCTCCCATCGTCCTGGTAGTGTGCTGTTAGGAATTTTGTTCTTCGCATGCAAAACTTTGGAGCCTGTACCATACTTAGCAATCCCTGGCTTGTCTGAAGACAGGTACAGTCTTGCGACCAAGAGTTATTTGTGTAATAGTGTATAAATATAATGCAGAGATTTGTGTACAGCAGAGGTAAAAAGGAGCTCAATTCAATATCTGTCACTTCCAAGAGACTGAAAAAATGCATTTGAATAGCTTTCGAATAGGTCTATGTCTGCAACCCCAATGTTAGGATAAATATGCAAAGCAAATTACAACTCAGCACCTCAACAAATACTTTTTTTTTTTAATTTTCTTAAGTAAAGTGGCATAGATAAACTCTACTTGTGACTATAGGAAGCAAACAACAAGAAAAACAAAACATGTTCTTCTCGCTATAGTGTGTGTTTGTTCTGTAGGCAGGGTGTAAGTGCACATTGCTCAGTTGTAGACAAATAATTGAGAAAAGTCGCTTCTGTACTTTTGTGATGGGATTTTTCCCCTCATCTGTAACATGCTCTTAGCAGTTGAGAATTGAGGGGGATATGTGACACGCTGAGCAATGCTGCTGACAGTTAACTATCCTGGATCATTTAAACTGTGTAATATAGGTTCTGTCAGAGCTGTATCTGTTCCTTGTAGGATGAAAATGATTGCTGGTATGGTAACGAGTTCTTTGCACTGAGTTCTTGCTGAACGTCTGAATGAGCGTCACAATGTGAAATGCAGATTTTGATGTATATCCGCTATGCTGCGTCAAGTAGATGGGCTGTTGTGTTTTATCGCTCTTGATTCTAAAGTGTTTTTTTCTTTTAATTTGTGGAATCTTAAAATTTCATCTTATTTCTGCAGAGTGTTTGCATGATCTCAGTCTGTTTGTTTTCTTTTAAGTACCAGGCTCTCTTTTTAAGAGACGGGAAGTTATACTCCCAGAAGGAGCTGAGCTAAATGGAGCATTTTATTGGAGAGCTTTGTGATCAACATACTGTATCAGCTAAGTACAAATAGTCAACGTTTTGTGCTGAACTCTTCCCATCTGGTGTTCTCTCTCATCATTTAATGTGCTCCATTTCCCAAACTGAAAGTTCTTCAGTAAATGCGCTGTTGGCTGGGAGAGGCTTGAAGTCTAGTGGACTTTCATTTGCATGATGAGGTTGTCCCTAACAAGCAGAAAGAATGATGTTCGAATTTGAGATCAGATATTGGTAACAAAACTCTTACCAATTTTGTGGTAATATTATTTAACCTTGCGCTAAGAATAAAACAATCACAAGTCATTTGGCTTGAAATTGCTTTGTTATGAGCTACCACTGAAGTTCATTGTGGCATTTAAGCACTTTAAAATTGCCAGTCTCTTCTCCAGTTGTGGGATGTTTGGGAGGAAGGCTGCAAGCAGCACAATATTTGTGTTCAGTCAGAGAATGACAAGAATGACAACTTAGAACTCATTAATCTCTTCAAAAATAAAAATGAAGGGATCCTAGTAGCTTGATATATCAAATATGTGAAAAATTACCAGCTATTCACATTTTGCTCTTGTTCAAGATGTGAAGAGCTATGATACTAGAATGTTACTGTGAGAACATAATCTTGTTTCATTTAGAATTTGTGTTCAGTTGCCTGATCCGTTTTATTTTAGGGATATAAGTTGTATTATGCTGCTGGCACTTCTTATTCTCTTCCTTTCTTATTTTGTTGCAGTGTGCGACTGCCATGCTTCAGAACTGAAACAGATGGCTTACGTAAACTAACTGCAGGCATATCCTTACAATAAAATGCTTGTGGTTACTTGTGCTGGCTACACCCACTTCTTTAACTTGCACACTGGGTAATAATTACATACATTAAGTAGCAAGCTGATTTCCAGCTAAATATTGATTTTGTTAAAAAGGGGATATTCTGTGCTGGAAAGAGGCTCTGTGATAGGAGATAGGATAGGTGGAGAAGTCCACCTTTGCATCATTGACCGTTGATATTTAATATGCTCAGAAGTCGGTCTGATGTCAGTTGTGTCTGCCCCTTCTCTATATGTTACTCCATTTAATAGAAGTATGCGTGCTAAATTTTTTTAGTTTGGCAACAGTGTATTCTAAGCCTGTAAGTCACAATATGGCCTGCACCATTGCCAGATGCCTTAAAGATTTGTGTTTATATACCTGATGCTACTGGAGAGTGCCTAATAGGGCATCCTTTTATTCCCTCAGATTGATGAGATTTGGACTGGATCTATGGCAGTTTTGTGATGAACATACTAGTAATGAGAATATCCATTTGTTGTCACTTCTGTATTGCATCATTCTCTTAAATTTCTGATATCTCTTTCAGCTCTTAATCAAATTAGAAATGTACGGTATATCTACAGTGATTCCATTATAATTAATGTATTTACATTTCAAAATGATTGCTGGGTAAAAATACAGTGTTTAGTGTGAGTAGAGATATCAGATTTTGGCCAGAAACTTGAATGTTGCTTAATTGGAAGATTTTAATTTTTCTCCAGTTTCTGGTATACTATAGTTTTCTCTCGTTGCATAGCATATGTGCACTTTGTATCCCCCTGCTTGGGTGTTTTGTACGGAAGGAAAAGGATACAACCCTTAAGAATGTGGATGAGCTTCTTTCTGACTCAGAGTAGGAAGATGCTCCTGGAATCAGTCATCATGGCTGTTGGGAATAGTTTTTTTATGATCTGGCAAAAATAACTTGTGTCATTAAGACTCTGCTGATGTTTTAGGCTGGTAACTGTGAGTAATAATGAAAATGATGCTAGGCAAGCAACAGGCCTTACTTGTTAAAGGAAACATTTGTACAACCAGTTAAGAGCGCAGAGGAAAACGAGCCAAAAAAGATATGCAGAGGTTAAAAGGCTTGCCGTGTTGCAGACTTTTTTTTAGCTGTATTTAAAGCCTCAAATTCTGCTAGACCAGGTACTGTACAAACATGAAGGAGAAAACCTCCTCCTAATAAACAGACCAAGTGGAAAGCATGTATGGATAATGCTAGAGGGTATGTAGAAATGCTTCTAGATTTTTGTTTGCCTTAAATAGAATGTCGTATAAGCGAAGGCATCTAATCTACTGTGCCAAAAAGAGATGTGAATGGAGGGAGAATCAGGAGGAATTAGCATAGATGAAAGGACATAGAGGAAAGGAACCTTTTCTTATGCGTGTTTAGAACCTGCCATGCAGCAAGGTCAGTGTGGTTTAGGTAACCAAAAATTAGATCAAGCCTTTTCAGAAATAGAGTGATAAATTAAATAGCTCCGCTGTTACCGCATCTGTCATAATGCAGCATTACATTAGTAATTAGCTAGTAAATGTTGGGCTCTGCTCTGAAGCTGTGTTCCTTTAGCATCGAACTCATGTCCATGCTTTCATTCTCAGCTGTGGGTACACTGAGACCTTGATTTCCATGTGGTTTAGCGTCTTGAGCAAGATTTGGCCACTTGTTGGTGTTTCTGAACATGTCAAGAGAGAAGCTTTTCATTGTTTAGACCCTTTGTTCCATTAAGTTTCTAAAAAAAAAAAAAAAAATTACAAATATAAATTAAAAAACTATTATAAATCATAATTATGGATCTTATTTTAAAATGCAGTTATATGTTTTTTTAAAGTATTTGTATTATATTTTTTTTTTGTATAGACTTTATTAATATTGTCAGTCAACTTCTTTTACAGTCTGCTTTGGATTGTTCTGGGCATATTTGTGCTCCTTTGTCACTAGGGGTTCTCTCATATTGGCAGTCATATTGGCAAATTAATCCAAAGGGAAGATAGCCCTGAATTAACGCAACCCCCAATTTTTAAGGTAAACTACTTGGACAAAAAGCTTTCTCTTCCTTTTGGGTAAATGTTTTATTTGAAACAAATTGTGGAGAAAAGCAAAGAGTAGAATCAGTAAGAATTCTGTAAAAAGTAGAATCAGTAGAAAACTCAGGGGTTCATCATGGATAACAGTAGCATTTGTATAATTTTTCATTTAAGAATTGTGTTAATTTTTTAAGGGGGTTAATCTGTATCTTAGCTCCTCTTATTATTATTGTTTTTCTACGCTTTGATAACCTCTGTGTGCTTCTGCTGACTTCTAGTTAAACTAAAATAATTGTAAGTCTTGGTCATTAACTGGCTATGAAGAGCTATAAAATAATTTCACAGATAATGGATATTTAGAGCCAAGTTTGCAAACCTTACTACTGTAATTCTTTTTTTTTTTTTTTTTGATTCATAGAAAGTAGTTAGCTATACTTCAGTCTGTCCTGGCAATAAAATGTCTGTTTAGCCATAATCTGTCAGTTGTAATTTTTTTATTTCTCTTTCCAATCAGGAACTGATGATTTCTTATATAACAAATAGTTCTATCCACAGGGGCTGGGAAAAGGGGAGGAAACTTCGTATTCTTTCTCCTATAAAGTTCCATGATTTTGGAGCAGTGGGTTGGTAGGATTCCTATCTTGCTGATGGAATGTCCTTTAATGCCCCAAATGGATACAATGCCCTCCCCCCATTTTTATGATTGTCTACAATATTCAACAATATATAACGTGACTTAGTTTCAGATGGGTCCATACTTGCAGAGCAGTATGGCAAATATGATTGGAGGGGAGGAGGAAGCATGTGAATCAATAACATTAGATATTAGTATTAATTTATTTCTAGCTTGTCTGATGGATCCAATAACATACAATACGTTAGGCTGGGTCTTTTCCCATGCCCTGTAGTGATTAGAAGCTCTGCAGAACCTACTTTATCAGTAGCTGGGAGCAGTGCCTGATGTAGTTGTTTATGAACCTCAGTTTTCCTGTTCTGTCTTGTTAATGTTTGGTATGAGCTGCACTCGGACCGTGTGCTGAGAAGAATGCTAAGCCTATAAGCAGTCCTTTAATAGAAGCTCTGCAGTTTATTCTGTTGGTATCTGCTCTATGTATAAATCCACCAGGAAACAAAAGACAGTATTTCAGAGCAAGTATTGCTCCTAGTCAGCATTGACCCTGAATAAAGCCCCAAATTCACTTCATCAGTGAAGGTGATTTCCATTCACTGTGAGCTAACGGGCTCTGTTGAACTTGTCCAGAGAGAAGTATAAAATTAAGCTTCCGAGAGTAACCACGTGGATCTCTTTAGTATAGTGTTTCTTATATCTGCATGACAGATGTAAAATGGGAATATTGATTGCTGCACAAATTCTAATGACTGTACTTTTTAGTATGCAAATACAACATGAAACGTCATATATTATTATTGACAATTTTGGGGCTCATTTGTTGGATTCATTGGTTGAGGTGAATTTTTAAAATATCCTTGGACAGTGTTGAAGACTAAAATTAGGATTTGTTTAGCTCTGATTGCGATTCAGCGTATTCCTTGTCTTACCATTTGTGTTTGTATGCTGTTTTATATTTTGAAGGTCTGGAGCCCAGATAAGCTCTATATTTCAGGGATAAAGTTGTTACTATATTGTTGTTGTTGCTTAATCTGTCTCTTTCTCCATAAGGTGTGCAAAGTTGTTTGTTTGTTTAAGATAGATAATCCTGTCAAGCTGCTTTTCCTTTTTTTTCGCCCATGCTATAGCCTCTTTCTGAAAGGAAATTCAGATTTTAGTTCTCCCTGATCAGAAAAAATGTTTTAATCTTGAAACAACAAATTTCTGTAGCCAGTTTTTCTGAGGGAATGAAATTTGTGTGATCGGTCTGTCTTTATCTACTTTCCCCAATAGCTTTTGCATCTCTTGGCCAATGATGACTTCATTTGGCACATACTCCTGTCCTGTTCTCTGAGAAATAGCAGATGGATAGAGAAGGCATTACTTGATCCACCTCCTTTAAGGAAAGGCAGGAAGAATTGAACTGTTAACTATTCTGTTTGCCAGCTCCCAAGTGACCAGTCAGCATATGTCAGCCAGTCAGCCATGTAACTGTAGATAAGCAAAAGAGACGATCAAAAAACACATGACAAACTCCAGAAAGGCAGGTGTGGGTTAAGGGAGGTGGTGGAATGAGGGAAGGAGCCAATGATGCTGTTGGAGACTGAGAAGTTTCTGTGTTAAGGATGCATAGGACATAGGGTGTGAATCCCTGAAGGCTGATATTTCATTAGTTTCCCTAGTACTGGAATGAGTTGGGAGGGAAAGATAATTTCCCCCTCCAACTGTACTGTAACTATTGGTCTCACATACTAAATAATATGCTAATAATCACCGTTGTTAAATAGTTTTCTCTTGCTTACTGTTTTTACTTGTGTGGAAATACGATATTCTGTCAGAAGTTAAAATGAAGGGGTCTACTGCAGATTCAGTGAAACTGAGAACTGCAAACTGATTAAAAAGATTGTCTAAAGTTGTGATAGAATTCACAGTATGTCCTCAAATCTTTTCTGAAGTAGAAAATGCCTTAAAACATGAAACACTTGTCTGGAAGTTTTAACAGCTAGAACACTTTATTAGCTTGCATAACAAGCTCTAGAGAAAGAAATTAAGCCTATTGTTTTACTGCTGCTAGGGACTGAAATATTTTCTATTAATCACAAGTGACGATTGGGGAGTCTTTGTTTCTTTTTAAATTTTTCTTGAGATATCGCCTTGTTCCACTTTCACCACACACCTCACTGGTTCAGTGCAGTGATGTTAGTGGAAGGCTGAGATGTACTCCCTTTGTCAGCCTCTAGGCCTTGGTTCTCTTTCTGAGAACATGATAATTTTATGAAAAACAGTGCCTAAGTGCACGTTGATGAGATTTCACTGTTTAAAGCACTGTTTGTGGGATTCCTTGCTGTACTTAATGTTAGTATTTTACGATGAAATTTTTCAGCTTCTTTGTAAAATTCGTAGAAATTAACTTCATAGAATTTAAACCACTTCAGAGAATTAAGTTAAAATTAGCTTTATAGAATTTACCAAAGAATTCAGTCTTAAAATCTCATACCATGCAAACCCCAAGCTTCTGTATCCAAAATCTGTAGTTTAAAAAAAAAAAAAAGAATGAAAAGTCACTTTGATAGATACACATAATTCTTTCATATAAAGCAAATTGAGGTAAAATTTGCTTTTTTTCCACTGATTGTCTAGTTCAAAGACCCTTTAGCCATTACAGAGAAGGTAGATCTAACTATGGGTCAGCATTTCTCTTAATGAGGGTTGATGAGGGGCATGTTTTGTCTATTGTAGACTGGCTGCTGCACTGGAGTGCCTAATCTCTGCCTTGCCAGTACTTGATTATCTTTTTTTTCCCCCCAATATCACACTGCTTTGCAATTAGTAAAGCCCATTCTGTTGATTTTCAACTTCTGAAGGAGTCCCAGTCTTTTTCTGAGTGCTTTTTTCCAGATATTTAAAAATTACAAAAAAGCTAGGACTTTCTGCACTTGCTAGCTAGCATAGTGAAATTGTGCATTTCAGAGTCATATATTCGACTTCACTTTTCTAGTCAGGCTTTTATGAAAGGCAGATCTTTTAGATGCATATGAGTTTTGCTTTGTTTAAAGGTGTGGAGAGAATAAATTTAAAACGTCAGCTTTGCATTATTACGGATTTTTTTTCCTAGTGAACACACATGCTTTTTTCACGCTACAGGAAGCTTTACTTAAAAATGCAAGTTTAGAAAAAGTCTTTTTACTGTACATACAGTAGAGCTGGTGATTTCTCTAAATTGCTATGCTTTTCTACTGAAGTACTGTGTCCTTTGAATCAGGTTTGTGTTGATGGCCAGCTCAGGAAAAGCTTGATTAGGCAGAGATGCTTTGAAATGTTAAGGGAGATAAATAGAAAGAGCAAGGCTGTTTGCTGTAGCTTAATCCTCCCAAGGCCAGTTTATACTGGAAAGATAGTGTCTGCAGAGGGATTCATTGTTTCCCACCTTCTGAATTTTGAATTCACCACTCTAATCGATATGCTTTAATGTGCTTATTGGTTACGTGCTGGCATGGCTGCAGTACAACTTGAGTTCCTAATGAGTTACAGGTGAAGGAAGAGAGAGATGAAGCCCAAACCCAGTACTTTTTGTTGGGGCTGTGCTCATTACCCGTGGGCGAGGTTGGGTGTGTCTGCATCACCCTCCCAAGACCAGGACTGTGCGGTAGGGCCAGTAAAGAGGGAAGGAAGCAGGAGTGGTGGTTCCAGCTAGTGGGAGATGATGGCCTCAGTCAGAGAAAGAGTTTAAGAGGGTAGAAGGGTAGCTCAGTTAAAATGAGGTTGTAAACACCTGGTATGAAATATTCTGTTAATAATAACCAATATTTAAGTAAATGCAGTCACTGCGATGTACTTTTAAATAAAACTCTAGTTTTTGATTAACTTTGCCTTTTTATTTTAAAACAGCTTCTAGAAACTAATTATTCTGTTAATTGCAGTTACAGTATAAATATGCAAACAAATTACCATAGGAAAAGTCATTATTTCATGATCCGTGACAGTTGCCCGTACGCACGCTTTTTAATTTCTGACGTACAGTAATTCACACAAACGTATCCAACTGTGGAAGAGAACCTTCCCCCACCTTGCACTGGCTGAGCACCAAGAATGCTCCCAGATGATCACTGCGGACTGGGTGACATACAGCAGTCTGCTTGTACGAATTATCTGATTCAGGGTTTGGACAAACTTCTGGAGAACAGGTACCTGTACCACGGGCTCCACAGTATGCAAGTTGCAATGGTATTGTAAAATGTATGTGTCACACTTCGTAATTGCAAAAATACACCCACACCCATTTTTGGATGCCAAATAATTCTAACGATAAGCATGGAAGGGCAAGATAGTTGTTTGACTGGAAGAATGTGAATGATCTATTTGAGGGGGCTATCAAGGAAGAGGATAATGGGAGGCGTGAGCCTTCACAGCTGGTACTTGAAAAAATTGATGGCAGAAAAAGCACTGCCTACATCTGAAATTAAAAATAGAGACAGATGCATTTTCTCCTGGCGACAGCTGAAAATCTGAGTTATGCCCTTATTTTTTTGACACCTCGGCAATGTCTTGATGAAATATGCATTTGTGAATTCCACAACTATATTTTTACATGCAAAGGAAGATAATATTGGTACTAGGCAATAAATACGTCAACTCCTCTACTAAAAATACACTTAAAAGTGTATAAACTTTTGGAACAAAGTTTCTTTTCTGTTAATTGTTTCCCTGCCAGCCTAAACATAATTCACTTGGAACTAGGTTGCTGCAGTCCCTTTGAAGCAGAGTTTGGAGCTGGTATGACTGGGCTGGGGCATTTCAGAATGTGAAGCCAGTAAAACACAAACAAAAAACTTGGAGGGGAAAGGGGAGAGGGAAGGGGAGATGTTAACCCTCTGCTGGCTACCTTGCTTATAGTGTTCAAAGCTGGACACTGTAAGCAGGTCTAGCACAATCGGGGTGGATGGCTGTGGGACCCTTAGCTGGCTGTCGTGGCTTTAGCCGTACTGCTTACATGGAAAGCTGTTTGTGACGGTTTTTATACTACGCACTTCATCTGTAGCTTTCATCCTTTAAGCTTTTTGCTTGGAACTTCACTGTATTACTCAAAGTTTCCAATTAAAAAGAGATGTCTGCTTTCCATTAAACCTTCCTTGCTTTCTCACGTGACTACAAGAATTGTCATGCGGGTCTAGACTTTGGCTTAGGCTTTAAGTTCTTGATTGACGCTTCCTGCTTGGTAGGAGTAGCATCGTGCTTTTGCATCAGCTGCAAATGGTTATGAGTTATTAATTGAAAATGAGACTTCAAGCCAAGCATCTTGTGTTCCCTTTGCAGAAACGCAGCTGAATGGAGCTGAAAGGGCCACAGATGCAAGAACTTGAACACGTTTCTGAAAGTTTAAGATGTGTCTGACAGTGACTTCCTTACCTTAGTAATAAAGAAGAGTGTTTCCACAGGAGCTTAGGATATCTTGACTCCAGCTTATTAATGTACTAACTGGAATGGTGTTCTGAGAACAGCTCTCCATAGTAAAATACTTACCCTGCTACAGAACAATATTAATTTGTCTACTGATAATGCAGCTCAATGGAGGAAAGTAATGTTTTGATAAGCATGCGGGAAGATCGTTCCTTTCATGTTCGATACAGGTAAGACTGTATTAATTTTAGTATGAGTGATTAAGTATTGTTAATGATAGAAAACTAAGCAAATTTACAGCAAAAAGTTTGGAATCTCTATTGCTAGTATTATTGAAGCTGAAAGTCAAAACAACACTTTTTTTTTTTGCTATTCTCAATTTTTGAACAATGAAAATTCACTTTTGAGATTAGTATAATTACATGGTTGTATAATATTGGAACTGTTTGTGGTTGCAGAATAGTACATACTTGTTTGTGTTTCTTTATTATGATTTGATTTGTAAGAATGATGTGAAATGTGATCACTATATAGTAGTACATACTCTCTATTTAGCTTTTAAGCTGCTTATGCAAATTCTTGGGTTTTGTCTACTAAAGTTCTCTGTACTTGTCCCATTATTGCTTATGTGAATGATGAATTTTCAGGTGCACTTTCTTCTGAGAGCACAGTTTTCCTTGCCTAAATAAGGAGCTTTGATTGATTAGATAAAAACTGCTTTGACATCTTGGAGTGAAAAAGTGTTGTTATTGCAAGTACTTTCCCTTCTGAGAACTTTTCTAACGATGCTGAAAAACAACAAAAACATTGTATTTTGCACCATATTTAGTTAGCTGGTGTTTCAAAGGGTAGATCTTGCAGCTCATTCAATAGGAAAGCATACAGCAACACTGGAATGATTATTTTAAAAACAAATAAAATAAATGTTTCTAAATTTCATTCCCCCCATGCTCCGTCATCTTTACTTTGGAGGCTTTGTTGTTGTTGTTGTTGTTAATTAACAGAAACAAAGTACTGCCCTTAATTGTAAGACAGCACATGCTATTGCTTAAAATTAATTCTGGGGAAAAGGAAGGTACTTGCAGTATCCATTCTCATACAGCTGTTCTGACAGTGTTAGACTGCTGTTGGACTGGTCTTGTCTTCCATTTCATAGAAGTACAGTATTACTTCTGGTTAGCCATATACTCAACAGGAGGAGCTTTTTCATGGCCAATAAGGAGAAACATGGGAAATGAACTACTCTCTGCTGTCTTTTATTTTACTGAAATCCTGCTATGGTGGCTTAGATAGCAGGAATCCCTATATATCTGAGCTTTATACTTTTGCCATTCTATGTGTTTCTTGGGTATATCTATCTGCGAGCAGTCCTGTAATGTGTTTACACACCATATTGCTGATGTTCTTGGTCCTCCCCAGACAGCTCACCTTTTATAAAACCAGGAGCAGTTCAGGGAACTATTAGGGAGGTAACTGGATGAAGAAAGCAGCATAGCTAATTTGTCTGTTTTAAACTGACAAGCCAAAAATAACTTTAAAACATTTGGCAATCATGGTCAGGGTGAAATGTCTTACTGCTTCATTCTGTGTTTCAGTACAGGCTTGAGTGATGCTAATTAACAATAAAAATATTTATAACGTTTCTGTAAGAACTATAATGTGATGAATGCTTACAAATCGCCAAAGCCTATTCCTTAAAATTTTTTTCAAATATTAAATTTTTCCAAAACTTAGAGAAATTGCAAGTTAATTCAGCATGCTGAACTGCAATATTATGAAATTTTTAATTTAATAGGTATACCTCAAAAAGATTTGATTTGTTTGTAGTTTAAAATTTAATGCAGGCAAAAAATCAGGTCATAAATTTCTGGTGTATTTTGTTTATTTATCTATTTTTCAATCTTTTACGTACAGTAATTATCCTCGGGTCATTTGGCTCCCAAACTGATTTCCCTTTCCAAGTGATATTCCAGTAGAACGGACTTTAAAAAGAAACTGATAGTCCACCCTTAAGGAAAGGGCTTACTATGGTTCTTTTTCTTCCTGTGCAGGCTGTTCCTCTCTCCCCACTTAGACAGAGAGTATCACTTCAGCAGCTACAAAAATGCCTGCGCTGGTATAAGGAACCTATTTTTGTTCAAGCCTAGTTCAGTTCCGGAAAATAAAATGCCGAGGATAACGAATATGACTAATAAGTGATCAATAGAGTAAACATTTGTAGAACTTCCTTTGTCTTAGCCTGTTCAATTCATACACCAGAAACCTGTAACTGATAGTATGATGAGTGGAGCTGTAGAACCCCAAATTCTGTTGTTGTTGTTGTTGTTGTTCTTTAACACTCAGTTTCCCATCAAACTGACTAGACATAGTGTTCCAGTGGATACCTCAGTAGTTAGGACTGGTCAGTATGGTAATGCTTCAACATTATGTGTAGAAACCAAGAATAAGGGCTGGATTCATATGATCTTCATTGTGGAATGTTTGTGCCGTTAGCAATTTTATATATTTGAAATAAAGAGTTTTTCTGATTTTGTGACTAGGTATTGACACATGTCACAGCCAAGTTACACGGTAGGGAGAACCCCCCCCCCACCCCCCCCGCACACCATGAAAATTGCCGTGAACGTTCAGAAACCCTCTTTGTGGGACTGAACAGAATACAATTAAGTTAGTAGAATTCAGGGTACAAGTTTTCTTACTTTCTTCTATTGCCTTATTTCTTACCAGTTTTCTGTTCTTTGCTGTAATATGAGAACAGCTAAAGAAAGAGAGACTCCAAACATTGGAGAAAAACAAGGAGGTTAGGGTGGAGACATGCACTTAGGGCTTATTTTCTTATAAATGTCAAAGATTCAAAAGAGAATGTAAAGAAGGTCAAAGAAGATTTAAAAAAAAATGCAAAAGGGAGCCAGACGAGATGAAAAGCTTAGAGTAACAGATAAGGATGAGGTAGTTTTACAAATGAGAAATTATTCAGGAGATGCCAACCTTTCGGAGAGAGTAGGTCCAGGGCAACTATAAGTAGAACAACAAAGTGAGGCACTGTGTGCGTATTTCCACAATAATATCTGGAAGAACGTTATCGTGTTTAGCAGGAACAGAATTTCATTAGAAGTACCCAGATGAATGGGACTTTTTGTCTCCGCTGATTCAATATATCTTTTGTTTAGCCATTGGGTGTTGAATAAATAAGTAATTCAATTCAGCCCTGGGAACAGAGAAAGTAATTTCATATTCTCCTTGTAACTATTTAATGACTTCCTAAAATATTGATAACCTACCTCTGTCTTGTCTGCCTACATGCTATTTAACCACATTAGTAGGACAGTTTAAACAACTCCTGGGATCGTTCCTAAGAGGTGATTTTTTTTCAATGGAGAACAGTTGTGTAGATCTGTTTAAAAACATATGATTTTTCATAACTGTTTATGAAAGACTATAAAAATATCTTTTTTGAGTCCAGTTTTTGTACTTGATGAGTAAGCCTGTCAAAATTTTTGCCCAGAAGTGACTTGGTAAGCTAATCGAATGACTCCATAGCTCTCATGTAGCATTAATTAAATATTAATACTGGGTACAGGCAACTGAAATAAATTGAAATAAATATTTCATTTTCTCTGTTCTTTCTTCTTTATAGCTTATGTAGACTTTGAAATTGTAAAAGGTCAGTAAGAATCGGTCTAAATGGAAATGAAACTTTAATTTGTTGTCCACAGATTCTGACAACCTGTCAATACAACCTTTCTAGAGCTGTGCTCATAGTAATATTAAAATTTGGGTTACTTTTTAGTTGAACATTAATTCCCATTCTTATTTAACTCTTATAATTCTAGTTGAATTGAGACATGTTGGAATAACAGTTGATATTCATCAGTCTTGATATAAACCTTAGCTTCATATCTTTTAATGTTCTGTATGGAAAAAAAAACCCAGATCTTTCATTTTTATAAGTTATACTAAGTCTGGGTTGCAAAGTCAAAAGATTAGATTTCAGGTCCTTTGATGAAAGGGTAATGCTGCCTCGGCACTTTACAGTCTTTGGAATAACGTGAAGTTACTTGAATGAGGTGTAGCAGAAAAAATTGCGAGTCTGTAGCATTCTCTGAAATTATCTTTTGTACCTTTTCAAGCTGTGTCTTTCCTTCATTGATTAGTTGGCTGATTCATTACCATTACAAATCAAAACATGAATTTATTTTACAAATTAAATTTATAGAACTGAAGTCTGGTACAACATTTTGACTGTTATGCCGCATACACGTTTTGCTGAAGGTCCTACTGTAAGTCCTTCAACCTAAAAAACTAAATAAATTAATGTGGTTGTGTAATGTTCTAAATCTGAGGAGCACCATATTTTCTAAACATCACTTTAATTAGACCTGTCAGTTAACATGAGGTGCCCGGAGAGAACCTCTTGGGATAGGATTATTTAAGATTACCCAATGAAGTGTTTTAAATCTTAAACCTTTAGTTGCTGATGGTGTAACATACTGTACTTAAGCATTTCTGCCTTTTTCCATTTTACGTACAGCACATGCACAATGTAATAAAAAAATCAGGTGGTGTGTTCTAGCAAATAGAAATTCTTTCACTTCTCTGAGGAGAATTTCCAAACCTAAAAATACTGCGTGTGTTATGGATATCCAAACTGAGAAGTTGGGCCTGGGAAGAACTTCATGCTTGAGTTGTAATTTGGTGTCTGCATCTTTACCAACTACCAAGCATATGTTATTTTTAGTTACCAAAGTAAAAAATGTCTGTCATCTCATTGTGCTTAAGCTGTGGAATGTCGAAGACCAGCAGGTATGGTACTATTTTGTGTTGGTAGCTTGTTTTACTTACGATCTAAATTCTAGTTCTCTTGCAAGTCAGTGGGTTTTTCAAAAATATTTCCTTCTTACTCGGATTTGAGTAGAATGTTGTATAACATTTTTCTGATTGAAAAAAATTAAGTATTGCAGATCTATTAAATATTTAATCTCCACATCTTGTCAAAACAGCTGTTTTCTAGTGTTGTCATTAAAATAACTGTTGGAATAGCCAATATTTGTGATTGTTACTATTAAAGATCTTGCATATGAAGGAAAACTGGTTTAGGGATAGGATTCTAAGAGAGTCATTCTTACAACCAGTAAATCGCAAATGATGACATAAGAAGGATATATTTAATTATACAAGATGTTCAGTTTTGGAGTACAAGCCCATCTTTTAGAGGGACTATTGTTTACTATGTAGTCCAGGTGGAAGAACAATTCCAAAATAATGTAAAACTTGCAAGGTTGGCACGCCGCAACGCTTCTTGACAAATACTTAAAGAATGTATTTTACTGAGTTTGCCTTGTGAAAAACCTTTTTAAAGTGGAAAGGTGGCACTTTTGTGAGCTTTTTGAAATGCAGGTATTTTGGAAAAGCTTGTGTACTATATTGTTTCAGGATCAAGACGGTGAAGTTTTCTTTCCTTGTCATTCTCCTCTTCCCCAACTCCCTTGCATCTCAGAGCTGTAAAGAAGAAAATGTTCATGTATAGTCATTAACGCTTACTGAAATTTGAAATTTTGCCTCTTGTAGACCTGAATTCACAATAGCATAAAGGCACATGAATGTTTTTTTTGGCAGTCAGTTTTTTGACAAAGCTTCTTTGTTCCTTGTTCAAAATGTGTAATGTTCTGCAATTCTGCTATGTAATTCTTTAATGAATGTCTTTGCTGCTTGCAGTATTTTATAACTGTGTAATTACACAGTTCTTTGCCTGTAATAAAAATCAACAATATTTCAATGGCTTATGGAATGATGGGGTTTGAGGTTAAGTGCTTGAATTGAAATGCATCTCATCATTAATTCAACTTGGTTCTTTTTTGTTTACACTGTGAGACTTTTTGTAGCACTGGCACTATAGGAAATGATCACATGCCAAATAGTATTGAATTAATTGTGGAATAATTTGGGGAAAACAAGTCGTGGTCTCTGATACACAGAATTATTGAACTTCTACTTTTTTTATAGGACATTCTGGAGGTAACTGTGCTATCTACCTAAAAATAAAATTGTCTTTTTTGGGTGTTGGGGGATGGAAGGGAGAGCTACGGGTGATATTATTGATTGTCTGCTGTAATGACTACCATACCCATTGTACCTGTGTTTTACTGTTACAACCTTTAATTTCTTGATTGCTCTACATCCATAAGTCAGGAAGATAAAAATCTGAAATGCTGTATTACGTTTGTCAAAATCAATATTCACCAGTAATCTGCATGCTTGATTTTTAGTTTGCTGTTCCAAAATTATCTAGCTAGTAAAGGCTCTTTGCATTTTAGAGTCATAGTGGTGCTATATAAGGACAAAGTAGCGTTCAGATTTCTTCCTTGAGACTTTAAAAAAAAAAAAAAAAAAAGAGCTGTCACAATGTTACATTTGCTCATCACTATCAGAGTTGCAGTTTCCATTTCAGCGTTTGTTTCTGTAATATTACAGTAGCGAGTTCATTGCTTACACTGTGGTGCTGAATCCCTGTTCTAAACAAGTGGAGACCTTCTGCATAATATGCACCTCTTCTGAACTATTGGGCCAAGTACTACAGTTAGAATGACAATTTCCTCTTCTTATTCAAATTGTGCAGGATGGAGGCTTCCTGCCTAGAGCTGGCTTTGGAGGGTGAGCGCCTGTGTAAAGCAGGAGATTGCCGAGCTGGTGTATCTTTCTTTGAAGCAGCTGTTCAGGTTGGAACTGAAGATTTAAAAACGCTCAGTGCTATTTATAGCCAGTTAGGCAATGCCTATTTCTACTTGCATGAATATGCAAAGGCCTTGGAATACCATCACCATGATTTAACTCTTGCAAGGTAATCTTGAGTCTTTCTTTAACCATGTTCTCCATTTCATTTTGTTTTTGTAAAGATGAGCAGTTGATTGTTCATTTGCTTACCAAAGCCTGCTATTAATACTGCGTAGTGAGTGAATGTGGTGATGGCAGGAGGCTGAGGAGTCCAGCAGCAGGTAACTTGATTGCCCTTTAACTGGGGAGCTGATAGTCAGTGTAGCACCGTAATTTTAGTACTGAGGCCTTGTCAGGTTTGTGGATAATTACATGGCTTCTTTAAATCCACTCCTTATTTACCCTTTCCTGTTTCTAAAACTCCATCTTTCTGTTTTTCTAGAATGTTAAGATGGCTCTGCTGTTCACTAGACAGAACTCATTCACGTTTCTCTGTGTAAAACCCATAATGTGATATTACGAAATATTAAAAATGTATGCATTTCATATACTATTTATATGTCTGACTTTCAATGACTTAGTATAGATCCAATAAAAAACAGAGGCACATAATGTAGGACTTCACCACAGTTTAGGCACAAATCCAGTCTTCCCCCTTAGCCTGTTTAAGTGTTATAACCACGGAGGTACTTAAATTGGCAAAGGCATCCTTGTGTCATTCCCCAAGCATTGACGTCTTGAGTAAGTCAGTGTCAGTCTTGCACCTTAATCTCATTTGGACTCTTGAGATGAAGTATTCCTCCAAGCTTTCTGGGAGACTGGTATGTCTAATATAGACAATTATACATTATATATAATATAGACAATTATAAGACAATTTATGATATGTAAAGTGCATAAACAGTCGAAATTTTTCTAATCATGTGCCTGTCTTTCTATGTAATCGTTACAATGTTTCTTTTTATTCTCTTCCTAAAAGAAGTGCAATGTCTTATAAAGTAGTTTATCAATACTGTGAACACTGACAGTTGCATAAGCAGCACCAACAAAATTAAATGTCCATAACCACAGATTAAACCAAGTTTATGTGAATGCATTTTTAGATATAAAATGAAACACACACACACACACACACACTCACACACGCACACATTTGTAAACATTGGTAATTTCCTAAAAAAAAAAAAAAAAATTGTCTACCATACATTGATCATCTCTGATTTCAAATTATACACTATTTAATGGTTGTTTTGTGTCTGCAATTTTAGGACTATTGGAGATCTGCTGGGTGAAGCTAAAGCTAGTGGGAATCTGGGCAACACCTTAAAGGTGCTTGGGAATTTTGAAGAAGCTATTGTTTGTTGTCAAAGACATCTGGATATTTCCAGAGAGCTTAATGATAAGGTAAGAACTGCTTAGGAATCTGGAAGTAAACTATGTATTACTATAAACCATGTGTATTAACAACCCCCTTGGTATTGGTAGTAAGATGAATATGTCACTTTTCAGAGGGAATTAAATACTGAGCATTCAATTACTTCTAAATAATGAGAATCTGTTAGGTTTAAGAGGATTGTTTGCACCTAGAAGACTACAGGATCCAGATTTATAAATATTATCCTGCATTTTATTTAGTTTTTAAAGATAATTGGACTCAAGAATTCTTATGTATCTCACACCTTCAAAGGGAATAGTAAGCAAACAATTTAATTGAAAGATATGGCCGAGTGGGAGTAAGGTGGGTGACGAGGTGAGCATGTTCAGAAAGGTCGGAGCCTCTGTTGACAACCACTTAACCTTTTTCTCCTTCTGTGGATTGTGCTAACTGTTGTTAGGATGTGAGACACCAGCCTAAAGCATGAAGTTTTAGAGCCCTATTAACACATTGCTTTTGTTTTAGGTGGGAGAAGCAAGAGCACTTTATAATCTGGGAAATGTGTATCACTCTAAAGGGAAAAACGTAGCTTGTGCAGGGACTCATGATCCAGGGGAACTTCCAGATGATGTGAAAAATGCGTTAGAAAAAGCTGCAAATTATTATGAGTAAGTAGTAGCTTTAGATGTCAACGATTGAGAGGATGCGATCATCGAATTCATTAAAATAGTGGGAGATTTCTTGGTGACATGAACTAAGCTGTAAAACAGCGCTGCTTATTTTGCAAGCAGTGGCACGCGTGTACTCAGAGCAGTGGTACTTGAGAATTTTTTCCTTTTAAAACGGAGAGTGGACTTTTCTTTGTTCTGCCCTGAGTTTTAGCGTACCTCTTATTCCCAAGTCCTTTCGCTTATACTAGAGTCCTGTCTTACTTTTAGAACCAAACTGACACAGTAACAGGGCCTTGGTATAACTGCACTTGAGTTGAGATTGTCTTACTTCCAGTAACTTCAGTTCACGTATTTTTGTGGCATATGCAGTACTTACCTTTCTTTCACGGGAGAATATCCGCTTTCAAACTAGTAGTGGATGTTGAGCAAACGTAGGTCCTTTGCTGGAAACAAGCACACCAGCTTGTGTGAGAATGAAATAAAAAACTTCAGTATCTCACAGGAAACGCTTCCTGCTTAGTGGGAAATTTATGGTTGCATAAAGGCAATTAAAATAGGCCAAAGTAGAATACCTCTGCCTCTTCCTTTATATAAACGAAAGGAAGAAATTTTTTTGTTCAAATGACTATGTGAAAACATAACTTACAAGTTGCTACTCTTCCCCCTTGCCTCACTTTTCTCAAATCAGGGAAAACCTGACAATAGTCACAGAGCTGGGTGATAGAGCTGCGCAAGGGCGTGCCTTTGGAAATCTGGGAAATACACACTATCTTCTCGGGAACTTCAGGAGTGCAGTTATAGCCCACGAACAGGTACAGAGATCCACTAGAATGGACTGTTAGTTCATTCTAACAAAATATCGCTAATTGCTATTGATCTTGTGTATGTATGTTGGGTTGGATCTTGCAAGTTTTTTAGTGCAAGTTAGGCTTTAAATCTTAATGGCATAGCTTTAAGTCTGGCTGCTCTTTTCAAGTGTTGGCCTAAAGAACAGATACTCTACGCAGTGGAAGAACTATGGGCGTGCATTCTTGCATGCCAGTGTGTGTGTTATGAAATGCAAAGCTGAGTAATTAATGCAATTATTTAATATTTTTAAGCGTCTATTAATTGCAAAAGAATTTGGTGATACCTCAGCTGAAAGAAGAGCATACAGCAATCTTGGAAATGCCTACATATTCCTGGGTGAATTCGAAACTGCTTCTGAATACTACAAGTTAGTCGACTGCTTATAATTGTAACTTACATCTCTTCCTGCACTTTTTAACTTTTCTTGTGCGTAACACTTTAGCTGACTGTAGAACAGCCATCTCTTTAGAATATACTTAGAAAAGAATTGTGTTTGTTTAGCAAATTTTTTTTTTGTCTTTTAACTTTTTTGTTACTTTAAATAGATTCTTCTCAACACTGTAGACATCTTTCTGTAATACACGTCTATTTGTTGTTGTTTTACAGATTAAACATTACTGCCTTAGGTCTTAACTACATTCTGGAGTGATCTGAGTAGACTTTAACATAGGTAGTGCATGGCAACATTTGGCCTGTATTTTTAATCCAGAATTTTTCTTCATGTCCTCAGTACAACCAGTTGTTGCTGCTGTAACTTAGGAAAATGTATGCTGTGCAAAGATGCAGTATAGGCATTACTATCTTCCATGAAATTCAGGGCTGCCTGTTCTTGAAAATAGGAAAAAAGCCTGAATACTGAGCAGAAGCTGCTTAGCTCTCAAATTCCTCTTAACTAGCAAGGATAAGCTGGCTTGGTGGTTACAGGTACTATATTGCTCCTATTGATGGAGAGTATGTGATATGTATTTTAATGTTGATACTAAACTGTGTCAAGTCCATGCTGTGAGGAAAACTGCTATAAATTCTTGATGAAGCAACTGATTAAAATTAGGAGATGCAGTTTAAGGGACTAGTCTGCTCCCTAATGAAGTAAGCGGACAGTGGTACAGGGGAGGAAAGTGGAAGACAGACACTTAAAATCTTGTAAAATTTTACAGTAATTTATTAGTAGCTAATTTACCAGCGTAGTGACCCAACTTGTTTAATTTGTGTAGCTGATTTTTAGTTGTGCAAGTATACTTCTTAAAACTTTTCTTTGCAGTGATTTTTGAGGTGACTAACTCTTTCTTTTAGGAGGACATTGCAGCTGGCTCGACAGCTTAAAGACAGAGCTGTGGAAGCACAGGCCTGCTACAGCCTTGGAAACACATACACTTTGCTTCAAGACTATGAAAAAGCAATTGATTATCATTTGAAACACCTTGTGATTGCTCAGGAATTAAATGATAAGTAAGCCCTGACAGATTGTTTCATGTATACATGACACCTGAACCAAATCTTGTTATCTTTTAGCTCTGCTTTGTTCTATATATGACATCTGAATTAATGTGAATTCCCTATAACAATGAGTTTCACTTTTCAAATGGAGAAAAATATACTCTTGAAGGTATTTCAGTTAATGAGTCTGAGATGAAAGATGCCTTTCTTCAGTTTTATTACAGCATTGATGAATGACTGTCTCCACATCTTGTGTCAGTATTTTCTTTATAAATTAAGGGGGGGGAAAAAAAAGCAGATCTCTGTTTTCTAGGACTTGATTCTAGTCATTTTGCGCACCTTCACAAGAATAGGTATCTTTTGCTTTTCCATAAACGAGGAAAAGGAAGGAGGGAGAAGAGTAAGTACACTAGCAAGTAATGCTTGTGTTAAAACCGTGATTTCTGAGTTTTTCTGTAATACTGGGTGCAACTAAAATTTTGTTAAATGCAAACACTTTTTTTTTTTTTTTAAAGTCTTGGGGTGGCAGGTATGTAGTCTAAGGAACCATTTGCTATATATAATGCTTGCAAAGCTGAAAGGAATGAGTTGTGTGCGCTGTGAGTTTAAAAATCAAAGATTTGATGAGAATTGTTTTCATTTATGCTCCTACCCCGATCACACTTCTTTAAGATACTTTAATGCATTGGTGTTGGCATAGTTTCTGATGGGAATCTTAATTTTCTTGGTACAGCCATGCTATTGTGGTAACGTTAAGAAAACCTGACCCCTAGTGTTCAGATAGTAATGGACAATGTGCTTATGAAATTTGTTCATTTTTTTGCAGAATTGGTGAAGGAAGAGCATGCTGGAGTTTAGGGAATGCATACACTGCTCTGGGAAATCATGAGCAAGCAATACATTTTGCAGAAAGGCACTTGGAGATTTCAAGAGAGGTATGATTTTTGCACACTCACATATGCTGGCTGCTTGGTTTTTGTTCTCACTGCGTAGTGCGTGTTACAGAGGTGGGTCCATGCACGTGATACTGAATAATGGCGTAGATTTTGAATAATGTCTAAAGTGGTTGATTCCAATACTGCCAGCATGGGGTCAAAGTTAATAGCCTAGCAAAGATTATTTTAGGCTCCGGTTTGTACCCTGCTTTAAATTTTACATTAAAATACAATAAACAGTTGATTCTCTGTTTTCAACCAGGGATCGAGGGGACAAGATGTTTGCTTTATATTTATGTATGTATATATATTACTGCAGTACTAGATCTACTTAATTTATTTGGCTGCAGGTAGGAGACAGAAGTGGAGAACTCACTGCTAGACTTAATCTCTCAGATCTGCAAATGGTTCTTGGACTGAGCTATAGCACAAATAACTCCATGATGTCAGAAAACCATGTGGCTGATAACAGTTTGAATGGTATGTGTTTATTTACAGAATACTTTTTAACAGTGAACTTAACACTGTGAACATTTTTTTCCCCTTATTTGTGTGTGTGTGTGTTTTTTTTTTTTTGTGGCGATGAAGGCACAAACTTCAGGTGGTTATACATGCATTTCCTCCCCCCCCCCAGCCAATGAGCAAAAAATAATTCTTTGTGTAATGGTTATTTTTGCAATATGGGATCCCTTTAGCCCCTTATTTTTTGGAGGATTTACGTTGTGAATCACAGGTTACTGCTTAGTTTCTTCACGTGAACAGTCTTGAGATTCTAACTATTCCTTATTTTATAATGGGAGAAATTTGTCTACTTGCTGCCAAATTATGTCTTTTCTTCCTGTCGTCTTAGCAACACTAGCCTTACAGTAGAAGCTGGTTCATTTGATGATAGCTCCATGGTCCTTCTCTGTGTCCCATGAAAGCACTGCTTATGTAGCTTAAATTTGTGGGTTGTAGGCCGTTCATACTAATGGCTATTTACTCTCTGCTGGTAAGTTTAACTGCACCAGTTTGGAACTCAGAATTGGGGACTCTTGGAGCTTAGATGAATATAACCAGAGCCCAGCTTTGAAGGTAACACCATAAATCTTAATGATAAAAGGATGAACTAGTCTCTTTCTTGAAGGTACCAGACCGAGAGTAGGACGCCGTCACAGTATGGAAAACATGGAACTTATGAAATTAACACCAGAAAAGGTTGGCACTTTTCTTCTTTCTGTTCCTCTAGTAAGATTGCAATGAAACGTTTCTAAGGGTTTTAAGTTACGAATCTGCTCTTATTACTCGTGTTAAAATGACAGGATAGGCTCTAGGACAAGCTAGTCAGAAGTTTTGTACTTAACTACTTTGAAAGAAGTCAGCAGAACTTTGAACTCTGTGTCGTTTGCATCCCCTTTAATTTAGATGATCCTAAGAATTAAGTAAAAGCAGGTCTAACAATTAGATGCGACAAATAATACTGTTGCCAGGTAGGTAACAATCAGCATCTTGCATATATAATGATTTGTGGATAGCTTGCTTTATTCCCCTCGAGCAGAAGAAAGAATAGGGTCCTGCAGGCAGTGCACAGCAGAGGAATTCTTTTCATCTCCTTTTTAAAAGCAGCTTGAGGTTTGCAGCATAAAAGTGATTCACAGTTAAACGTCTTAAGCTTTCGATCAGAGAGCTGCTTTGAACAATTTTGCTTTGGCTGCAATCATTTTATAGGCACTTAAACTACAGGTAAGTGTTTTTTCACTCTGGGATTTCAACTCAGCTTGCAAGCCATTGTTTCAACACCCATCTTGAGTCAAGACAGTATTTCAGAAATGCTGAACCTGAGTTACAGAGAGGGAAAGTGACTTCCCCCAAGTCACAAAAATCTCTTAGGGCTGGGTGTTCCTGATCCCAGTTCTTGTGTGAATCTTGAGAGAGACCTCCTTTAAATTCCACCTGCCCTTAAAAGGTAAGCTGGCAGTTTATGTAGATGACGCTACTGGTAGACTGAAATTGCAATCTCTGCCTCCATATTGGGATATCCAGTTCCCATCTCTTCAAACGATACAAAGCCTGTCATCATGTTTATCACATAGTAAATTAAATCTCCTCAGAGCTTACATCAAGACAGTTGGTACAGCTGAAGTTAGCGCTAACGCGCAGAGCTTCTCTGGGCACGGATTTAAAATGAGTCTGGGTTTTATTCCAGACTTGTTTCTCTACAGGGACCATCTAAGCTTTTGGTTATTACCAGCTGTGTTTTATTGCTCTCCAAATCTCTCTTTCTGTGCTATCATCTTTCAAAATATTGTGTGATAGTTTGTGCCCTAAATATACTAAAATGTTTCACGTGGATTTTATGATAAAGCATTAACCTAGTATCACAGCTTAGCTTTTAGTAAAGGGCTTTTTTCAAGATCATCTTGTAGTAGAATCTGGACACTCATTCCATGAATGTTTTTGCTATAAAACAGAACATATGGCTCAAGCGTTCTGGTTTGATTGTATGCTTGCTACACAGTCTTCTCAGAGTTGGAATCTGTGTGTTGAACTTAAGCCTTTAAAGGTAATTCCATTTTGGTAGGCAGTGTTGCTGATGACCAATTTGTCCTTATGGTAACAATTTCTGATGCTGAATCAAGAAAAAAAAAAAGGTTTTCATTTATTTTTTATAGAAGATTGTCGTTTGTAGATTATCTGTTTTGTGGATAATTATTTTAGAAGAGAAATTATGGGAAATCTGTCAGGTTGATAAAGTCAGGCTGTGCTTGCATTCTTCTCACGCTGCCTTTTCAAACTTTATTGGGAATTCTGTGTATATAAAGGACTCCACAGAAGGCTGGTTGAGTATCTGCCAAGTACAAAGGTTTGCCGTGCCCTCCCACTTTAAAGCCATGGATTTTTTTTCAAGTGTCAGAATGTCACGTGGCAACTGCCACCTGTACCTCAATTTTAGCAGTCATATTAACTACATTTGCTGCACTGCAATCACTAAGGAAAACTTCAGAGTATACACCATTTAACCACATTTTAGTCAGTCAGGCACCCCACTGTGGTTCAGTTAAGAGACTGATCAGTAACAAAAGTACTAACCTGCTTCAGGTAAATAAGATCTCAATAATCCTATGTCACGTGATAAAAACCAAAAGCTAAGTTTTCACCACCCAGTGGCTGGACAAACTAAATAATGTAAAGCTGCTTCACTTTGGGGAGGAAAAGAAGCAACTAACACCACAGGCATCAGGGTAATGTAATTAAAATTAAAAGGGTTAATTTCATGACTCTTGTTTTCTTAGGTTCAGAACTGGAACAGTGAGATTCTTGCTAAACAGAAACCACTGGTGGCCAAACCTTCAGCAAAGCTGCATTTTGTAAATCGACTAAAAGGCAAAAAGTACAAAACCAGCACCACTTCTAAAGTTTTGCAGGATGCCAGTAATTCTATTGATCATCGACTACCAAACTCTCAAAGGGTAGGTTCGGGGATTGTAGCCTTTTTTAAAATTCTTGCAGGTGTCCATTTTAGTTTTACTCATTTACTTAATTTAAACAATATCACTCTGAATCAGTGTAGAATCTGCCATTTTACAGATGTCTCATGGAGGATGATAACTTTAAGCTTTTCCCAGTATTAGAATGTTTTTTTTTTCCTGGAGGATTTTCTAAAGTTGTAGGTCAGCTGGCACATATTTTTTATTTCTAGAATCTCTTTCAGCCCATGTTTCTCCAAACGTACCAAAATCTAGTTTTTTTGACTCCTACTCCCTGTCAAGCTTGGCTAAAAATCAACCAGTGGAACTTTTTTATTTTCTGATAAATATTTTATAATAGGTCATTGCAGAAGTCAGTTAAAAATAAGAAGAATTGCATCATCTGATCTAAATGAGAGAACCATACACCTGAGGAGCAATTGGAAATTGTTCATTACTGCTCTCTTGTTTTCTTCTTGATGGGCACTTGGGTTTTGGTACATTAATAGCTGAGCAGAAAACTCCTGTTGTAATGATCAGAGTACCAGTTCTCTCCGTTTCAGAGAATGAAATGCTTCTAATAGATTTTACCTTTAAAAAATGTTTGCCATATTGTTAGCATTTCTTATTACTTTAGGATAAATCTCCATCTATAAAAAAAAAAAAGATGACCGAAAACTAGTGTTTAATGGGTCTCCGATATTCAAATAAAGAACATATTACCAGAACGAAACTGCCATACAGCTGTCCTGGTTGTAGGTGCTTTTGAGTTCAAAATACCCACTAATTTTTCTGTCCTCTTCAGAAAAACAGTCGAGAGACAATGGCAGATGAAGGGTTCTTTGACCTGCTGAGTCGATTCCAGAGCAACAGGATGGATGATCAGAGATGCTACTTCCAGGAGAAGAACCGATTCTCAGCTGCTTCAGTAGCCCCATCCTCTACTCCACCTAAAACAATGAGGAAATGTAATTTTTTTTGTTAACATCTGTATCTGACTTTAGTTCCTGGCGCATACTACTTAAAAAATGTATGTGCATGCAAGACCTACTGTGGTAGGGAACTAGGCTAATTTATTTTTCTTCCTCCTCCTCCAGCCTTTTCTGCTTCTGTAGTCTCACCCCACACTGATGAATTTCTAGATCTACTGGCTAGCTCACAGAGCCGTCGTCTAGATGACCAGCGCGCTAGCTTTAGTAATCTGCCTGGACTTCGTCTTAATCAGCACAACAGTCGGTCAGTCCTGGGTCACTTAATGGCAAGCAACAACAGAGAACTAGATGATGACTTCTTTGATATACTGATAAAATGCCAGGTAAGTTTTAAAAAAAATTTTAAGATTCTGAGTCTTTGGGGATTTGATGTGTGTATCCTGCTGTTTAGTTTCTTCAGGTAAGCTCCTATGCTTATCATGTGTGTTAAGATATAAATTGGTTTGTGGGATAGGGACATAAAGATCCAGAATTGATTCTTTTGAAGGTTTTTTTTTTTTCCCCCAAATTATCTAGTCTTCAACAAGTGTAAACTTCAGTCTGCATACCACGTTAACTATTTAAAATAACAAATGATGAACTGGAGGTATGCTGAAAAGATGAAGACAAGTGACGTTACTGAAAGGAATAGGTAAAACAACTTGAAGAAAAAGCATTTAGATCTAACTTGTTAGGATTCCTAGTGTATCAGATGCCTTCCTAACTCATCCAATGAAAGAATTCGCTATTAAACTTGTAGTTTTGATAATGATTATCATTCCTGTTATGGTACACTGAAATAATAGATCATAGTAATATACAAAAATTGTGTGTCCGATTACCAATTACAGTAGGTTATAACCAAAGAACTGCAGACGTGGTATTTTATCTGCTGGGCTGGGAAGGATCTCAAAGTACATAATCCAGATACCAAAAGTTTTTCCAAAGGTAAGGAGTTACCCTGGGTAGGAAGCAGAATCTGATGCTGATTTTACAGAGATGGCATTCATTAATCTGATGAAACAGCAACTTTTGTTTGTTTACTGTTCTCAGTCAGGCCAAGAATCTCTAGATTAATGGAATGGATTTTTTCCAGTCTTCCCATTCACTATCTATAGCAGACATGTAACGTAATGTCTGACAGCGCTTACTGAGATAGGAATAGAAAAATGTAACCCCCATCATCCATTACCGATGTTACTGCTTTAAACGGTAGCAAGACAATGTTGCCGACTTCTGTATGGGTGTGGTGGAAAATACTGTCTCAAAGGTGACTCTGGTCAAGTCCCATCGCTTCTTTTCAGTGAACGCTGCAAACCCATGTTTCTGAGGTGAGCGTGTACCTCTTCAGCTGGCTAGGCAGCAGCCTGTTTGTTAGTGCCAGAACGTACTCGTTCCCAGCTGAAGCGAAGGATGGACAGTAGATGGTTGCAGTCCACAGCCAAAGCTAGTCTGACAGGCTGCTGCTTGTAAAATCTCACTGTTTTTTTTTTTTTTTTTTTTTGGGGGGTGGGGGGCTGCTGTGTAAAATGAGCACAGAAGCTATCTCAGACATCTTCTACAAAGTAAGTGGTCTGTAACACTGTGGTTAAAATGTACTAGAACCTTCTGAGGAAAAAATTCTCAGTAGTGTGTTTCCACATCTGACAGCACCACAGCTATTTTTCTTACTCCCTGAATAATTAAAGAAAAATAGCTGAGAAAGACCTGTTTCTGTAATTTGCAGGACAGCTTCTAAGAAAAGAGAAGAACCTTAACCTAAAGAAGACGAACAGGGCTGATATGTCAGAGGACAACCATATTTTCTGTACTGTCAAACTAGAAAGAGCAATGCTAAAATTCTTTTTCTGGACAAAGAACACTTAAATCTTGCTCTACACTATTAATGATAACTAAATTATGATAGTATTTTCAGACACCTCTGACAGGTGGTTTTGATGAACCAATTCAGCTACACTTGCACCTTTAACCTAGTAACTTCATTTAAGGTGTGTGATGGCCCTGCAGGGTCAATTACTTGGAACAAAGCTTTCAGATTAAACACTTGTAATTGTTTTACACCTGAAAACAAGAACTTGGAGTAATTTTTCACTTATTTTATTCACTTATATGTTATGTAAATATGCAATATTACTGCTTGGTCTCTCTGTAGGGTTCCAGACTGGATGATCAAAGATGTGCTCCTCCATCATGTGCAAAAGGACCAACTGTACCAGATGAGGATTTTTTCAGCCTCATTTTACGATCACAAGCTAAGAGGATGGATGAACAAAGAGTCTATTTACCCACAACTATAAAAGGATCAAATTCTAGCTGAAGAAAGTAACAGGCTCGTTCTGTACAGTAACAACTATCATTTTTGTTTGCTCAGAAAAAATGTGTTTTAAAAAATAATGCAATTAGTAATTTTGTCTTTTTTTTTTCTTTAAATAAACAGCACCATCACACTCACTGACCTGTAGTTAAAGGTAGGGTTGCCACTCCTCATTGTACGAGGCAGCTACTTTTAGCAGTGTCTGCTGGAATTACTGACTACTGTATCTCCCTCTTTACTGCCTGTAGTCTTTTAACATTAATATGAATTTTCTTCTCCATCAAGGTACTCTTGTTGCAGATGTGTGGCCTCTACTGGTATCTATCTCCCTCTAGTGTAAAACCTAAGTTTGTATATTCTTTTTAAGGGAAACTTGATTTTTTCCCCCTAATTTGTACTTCCCTGGAAAAAAAGGTCTACTTTCTTTTATACTTTTTTAAAAATAAAAATAATTGAGAAATAAATAGCCTCAGTACTTACTCAGTCTGTCTTTATTTCTTCCAAACTGTGTTCCTGCAATCAATTTAAGAAAAAAGAAAAAAAAAAATCTTCTCAATAAGCTAGTTTGACTTCTGTTTAATACAAAAAAATATTCTTTTAAAAGCATGCTTGGCTTATTTTGGTAATATTTAGTTAAGTATACAAGCATGATGAATGATCTAGGAAACAAACAACTGGAGTAACTGTTTAGGATGATGTACTTGTTTGTAAATAACAGGTGTCAATGCTGTCTACAGCTTGTGGTATGTTTCCAGCACCAGTTGCCTTCCATTCACCAGGGAGTTACTGGGTTAGTAGGAGTTTAGCGTGGGCTGCCATGGACAACAGATAATTCCTGCAGCAGGAGAATTTCCAGTGTTACAAACAACAAATGTATCTGTCTATGCTGCCTGTTACCTGACCCAGCCGCTTCTTCTGTTGATAAGGCAGTGTACTATGCTGGGGTATTTTTGGGGGGAAAAACAGCTGTAACTTTCAGTATTCCCTTGGATGGATACCTACACTGATGTGGCTCTCAGCTCTGAGGTGGGTATGTTGTTTTAAATATGGGTATCTTGCGTTAAAGGTCACTGACTGTAACAGTAAAAGTGGAAAAACTGTTCACTTCAGGTATTTATAAATGAAGTTATCTCCATTGTCAATGGAGACCCCACCCCCCATCCCCACAATCCCCAAGAAGAATCCAGAGTTCATTTTAGAGTCAAAGTAAAACAGCTTTGCAATAACAATTAAACAGACACAGGCTCCACATACATGAGTCAAACTATTTTGCAGTTACTGAAAGTCTTACACGCATTCTGTTACAGCCTTTTTTTTTAGCACTGAGACTTGACTTCTAATGGAACTAAAACTGTCCTCCTTGTGCTTAGGGAGAAATGCCAGCATGTTTTTCCAAAACCATGAGTTGCCCTCACTGTATCAAGCTGATCTTTAGTACCGTTTGTTAAAGTTGGCGAGTGCCTGCCTAGCTTTGAACGGCCCTAAGAAAACTGGTACAACATCAGTTTCTTACTCCTATGCAAATTATTAAACTAGAATATAATCATTAAGATCTCCCAGAACTGAGCTGACAAGCAGCAATTCTCCCTACTTAAAACTGATTTTAAAGACTATAAAACACAGTTAGTCCTGAGACTTCTACATGAGCTATAATTAGTCTGACTCTATTACAGCACTATTATGTGAACAGCAGCAACTTTGACCTGTTTCACAGTTATCCGAGTAGGCTAACATTTGCTAGATCACAGAATATTAAAACTAGATATTGTGTGGTAGGGAAGTATTACTTGAAACATAGTACACAAATTGGATTTAGGACAAGCAGCAACACCACAAGCCTGTTTATATTTAATATTATATAATAAACCACCTAAGGTTATAGTATCTTACTTAATAAGTTTATTTTAAGTAAGTTCCAAGAACAGTAAAGCGGCCATGTATACTCAGTCTCTCAGTTTAAAACCCTACAGCTATTCTTGCTAATACTCTGGCCAAAGATGAGTTCTCATCAGCTTACGGCTGTTGTTTTCTACATTTGAGAACTTGAGCAGAACAAGCAAGTATGTGACAAACAAAGCTTAGCCAAAACTTACAGCCGAGGCTGGCGATTCCTCAGTCTCCTTCCTTTGATTGATATGACCTGCTCTCTTTCTTCTCTTCAGGTGCTCCTGTTGTAGAACTTTCCCCTTCTAGGTTTTTATTAGGGTTGCAGTTCTCTCCGGCCTCTTGCTCTGCTTTGCCTGTCTGCTGTTTCTGCTGCTCAAGTGCATGCTCTTCAGTAAGGCATTCAGCTGTGATAGTTGCTAGTCTACAAACTTCAGACTCAGTGTGCAATCTGTTCTGTAAAAATTAATAATAAGCTATTAATCGAGCAATCTGAGGTGACAGTGTCCAGTGCTTCGGGTATATCTCAGCTCAAAGGGCAAAACTCCCAAGATTTCCTAACTGTAAAGGATAATAGGCATTTTTTTTTCCTGGGGGGGAAACTGTACTGTACTTTTTTTCCCCTTCTGTGGGTAATCTTTACCCAGCGTATTAAGCTCTCAAAAGAGAAGTTATTTAAATCCTTTACTCTAAAGTAAGTGCTCCAATTAAGAGTGGTAGTTTCCTGCCACTGTTAACCATTGCCCAGTATTCTTTTAGAACAAAATAAGCCTAAGACAACCTATACAGGACTATTCTATCGGGGAACAGGCACTTCCTTAACTCCTCTCCCCAAGATTTGGATTAAGCTTGCTGTTTAACATGTCCAGCAGATAACGCTGAAGTCTAGTAAGTTTAATCCAAGCTCAAAGACCCCCTAGACTAACATACACTGGGTTCTGGTTTGTGAGACTCTTCTACTTGCATATCTGGCTCATCGCTTGCATGGAAAATGTCAGGGCTTCTGCTGCTGTTTCCAGGTCTCATACAGGCATCTCCTCTGTCAAAGGGTCCTCTATTTACATGAGGCTTCTTCCATAAAGGATAGTTATCTGAATCACTCGGATTATATTGCTTAAAGTCTATTTTTTCCTCTTGTCTGTCAGGTGGAGGAAGCATTTTCTTCTGAGAGGATGTTAAATATCTTAACATGGAGAGTGATGATCCTGCACCATAGCAGAAACCCTGTGGAGAAAGCAAAAAAAAAGAACAAACACCCAAAACATTCGCAGCCTACAGTTTTCACACCAAGTTCCAAGTCACATTGCCAAAAAACACTAAAGGAAAAGCTCAGATGAACAGAATGCTTACAAGAAAATTCAAGCTGTCTGCCGTCTGACCACACTGGCAGCAGCTACCAGGCTGTACTTTGTCTTTGGTGCTACAGTAAGAAAGATGCTGAGGGCCTAACTCAATGCTTTCATATACAAAATTTAAATTACATGCATCATTGTGTAACAACTCGTAACTATGCAAGAGGTGGAAACTGAGTTGGAAATAAACTGTCACAGAATCCAGGATTTTAAGCTATCTTAGTATTTTATTCCACATGGGAAATGTGGAGTAAAATGTGTAAAAGAGATGCAGTTTATATTTAAAACTTCCCTATTTTTAATTAACAAAATCAACTATTTATTATAAACATATTGTCAAGAAAAGAAATCCCTTGAACCCAGTGCATTAGAATTTCATGTGCTCTAACAAATCTGTTCAATAGTACAAACAAAAAATACATAAGTTCTATATGATAACACTTACTTAAACACTTAATTTACAATATAATTACAAGTAAAGCCAATGTTTTAAATATAATAAGATAAATGCATACAAACCAGAACAGCTAGAGCCATTATGATTAGTACTGGAACCTGCAGGAGCAATGGTATCTCCTTCATGAGTGCTTTGATGAACTCACCAATACCTTGTCCTACATGCTTCAAAGGCTCAGTTACAAAGTTGGTGAAAGTAATAGCCAATGCCTAGAAAAATATAAACAGAAAAACGGCATTGTCACTGATTAAACAGAAACATGAACCAACTCTTTACATTTGGTGTATACCTTTGTCGGCGGAACCAGCAAAATAGGATTTACTAGTAGAGTTTCATAGTACTTCTGACAGGGATCATCCTGAAACGTCCATTTACTTCTGAGCCATTCTACAGTCAAAGCAGAAAAATGTTTTTACTACTTTTTTCATATTTTACAGCACAGTAGCAAGACAGAAAATAGCATTTCAATTACAGATGGAACAGAACTCTTCTAGATATGGTTCAAAGCTCTATTTCTAAAAATCTCAAATTAGGACGGCAGCATAGCTTATCCAGTCATGGGCAAGCAGGAAGGAGAGGGAAGGCAGAAAGGAAAGGGAAGGAACGGAGTTTTTTCCTCCATGCTCAATCAAGAAAGATCTCTTCAGCAGCTGAACTTAGTTCCTAGAAGCCTCAGAAGAAAAATAAGCCTAGCCTGTGGAAACATCATTCGGTGCATTTTTCCCACAGTCACTGAAACAGAAGTAATTGCCAGTGTTATTACTCATCTCTCAGGCTGCAAGCTTTTCACGTATGCTTAAAAAACTCCCATATATTTGGTAGACTGTTGCAAGAGAAACCTATAACTAACAAGCAAAAAGTCTTTGGCCTTAATGGGACTTTTAAGCTGCGGACAAATAACGTATGACTTCAGTATTTCTGCAGTTTGATTTTTGTGCAGTCAAATTTGAAATTTGACAAAATACAGCACTCATAACCAATAAATACTGGCGGAAAGACCGTAACAGGCACTCATTAAGAGCTGCCACCATTAATCTTTCTGATATGACATTCAATGGACTAATAAAAAATATTCAACCATCTCTATACAATAACAGAACTGGATGAACAGTTACTGATCAGGTTTCTGAAGCCTGCTGTATTCACATGCTTGGAAGATGATGAAATCTTTTTCTTGAATTCTACCCTCCTCTCTCGAATAAACTGTGCACTGAATAGTCCTGGAGAGGAACAGGGAGAACACTCACGGGATGAGAGAAGACAGTATGTTAAGCATTAAGGATGAGAAGTAACCCCATGACATGCTCTAAACAACAATTCGGTGGATCAGCTCTCCTTCAAAGGCCTAGAAAGGAAAGTCCTGTCGAATGGAAGGACCTTTTCACCACGTAATCATATACCACTGAAGAAGGTGGTTCAACACACTTACTATTCATGAATAAATTATTGATGGGATTTTACTACTGGCTTGGCAACTTTTGAATGTTTTGCGGTCTTAAAAACTACTACAGAATAATTAAACATTTACCAATGAGACTTCCACTCCAGTCCAACTTCTCAGCACAGATGTTATCAAACTGGCCCATTTTGGCAATTTCTGCTTGATGTTGTGCAAAGGCCAGCTGCAGAAGAATCAGAATTACTTGTAAGAAATGAAGATAGAGCTGCCATCATCTGTAAGACTTTCTAAGCTTGATTGCAAATCTGAAAAAGCTGATCTGCACAAGCTGAACACAGTATGAAGTTTCTGAATTGGGAAGAAAGCAGTTTTCTTCAAAAGGCACTGACTGTTTCCATCATAAAAATGTTCCCGCCATCAGCCACACGTCAGCTAACATCCAGCACAGCTTGACAGCCCAAGGTCAGAGCCAAAGCAGGCTCCGTGCTCAGATCTGTCCCCACCCAGATCCCTCCCTCCAATTCCCAGGGCACAGGCTGAACCTGACCTAATACTATTCACTCTTAGCATGTTTGGTGTAATTAATTACCTAGGAATATCTATTAAAAAAAAAAAAAAAGTTTGCTACCTAAACAAACTCTTAACAGAGTTAATTCCTAAGAATTTCCTGGGACCAGATAAAACTATCAAGATGGCTATCCCTTTAATTTATTCTCCAAATGGCATTTGAATTACCACTCAACTTGGAGATCAAAGACATAAATTTAGGGCAAAAGCAACTGGGTACTAAGTTTCCTTAAAACGTGTTTGGATCGGATGAGGGGAGTGAGAGAAGAAAGACCGCTACCATGAAATTATTAACTAAAACATGGGGACATTTCTCTCTTTTAAAAAATAATTCCTATTAACACAAACACCTGTCCTGATTACAATTTTGTCTTACAGTTGCAACTGATCAAAAAAAAAAAATTTTTATAAGCAAATCATCAGTTCTTTAATGACTCGCACTAAGTCCTTCCCATGGCAATCCACTCATGTTCAAGGGCCATTCTAATCTCTGGCACTCTACTATTCTTGGTCTGCCAAAACAAATCAAATATTGTAATGTTCTGAAGAACTGCAATTAAGTTCTGATGACAAGATGTGAGGACCTAGATTTTGTGTCTGGGCTATGACCTAAAGGGACAAATTCCTCCTCATTAAAATCAATACCATTCTACAGTCAGCTACTTTATGACCATAAATGAAGCATTTATCTTTAGTATATCATCTATTAAATATACTTTCAGCTAATGAATCTTTGGAGAGACAGAAACAAACAGACAACCAACCAAACAACAGTATTTTTTTTTTCCAGAAGACTTTCCTAAGAAGCTGCTTTAGACAGAGTTCATGTTTCCACAGTGAAGTTGCAGTTCTACCGCTTTATTAATTTTGTGTTCCTCTGCAGCAGGACATAAGTTGGCAGAGTTTCTTTTGTTGTTTTTTTAAACTTAATAAACCCATCAACATGCAAAATAAAATGTTAATCCCTTTATTAATTACTGTTTTATATAAACTGAACAAGCCAAAAAAACCCAAATCCCTGATAACTGTAAAAATGTTAAGTCTAGACGCGGTTAGGATTTCTGAACAACTTACCTTATACAAGTAAAGCCAGTTCCATGCACAACTGATCAGAAAACTGATTAATAAAACACGTTTTAGCTGAGTAAACCAATGAATACGTGTCCAGAGCTCTGTAGCTACGATAATTACAATGCACACTAAGCATAGGAGGATCTGAAAAAGAAAGCAGGAAAAAATTTATGATCCAGACTTGGAATTTTCCAGGCTTACTGCCAATACACACGAAGCAATTTCCAGTTTCTGCTTTTACTAGCTTCGTTTACATGAAACAGTTCAGAGACTTTTCCCTTGTTTTTACAGCCTATCGGCTGCAGAATTAAAAAAAATAAAGCTGACAAGTTTTACATTATTATTAGTGGTGATTCCTATCACGACCTTATGTTACAAATGCTCACTTCTTTAGTACGATATTTGATTATTTATTTCTTATGATATTTGTCACATTACCTATCAGACTTAAAAGTTATAGAATTTAAATCATTCTGTGCTGCAGAAGCACAATGCCTGGTATGAACTACAGAATCACTGATGCCAGTGCCTGCAGTTTGGTTAAGAGACAAAACTATAATTTAAGTAACAGCAGCAATACCCTAGGAAAACACTTTACAATCTTTTTCTGTCTACAGACCCCTAATAGCAAAGTTAAGCTACTGACAATAAGTTTGTTTGTTTGCTTTGATTCGTGTTTTTTTCTTTTTTTGGCTTCCATGGACCCCTAGAAACTTCACTACCCCTAGAAGGCTACTTTCAAGATCTTTTTAGCTAAAATATATAAGCATATTCTGAATTTTCAAGACTTATTTGGAGAGCTTCAGCATATTACAGATCCTCAGTCTAGCACTATTTAAAATCTTTGTAATTCTGTTTTAGAGGAGTCTGACTTTTCATACATGGTCATGCTCTCTTTCTTCTTTTAAGCATTACACAAAATTTTTCAACAGAATGCATGAACAGATCTAACTTATAAAATCTAAGCCCTCAAATATGTACTTGTCTCAGTATAAATACATCCCAGCTCTTTTTTGCCTCCTGCTGAAACCAACATCTTCAGCATCTGTTTGAACAAGAGACAAGCCTGGAAAATTGACAGTTGTACTGTTAAGTGATCAGAAAGTAGAGTCTAACGGATCACACAACACACAAAAATGAAGAAAAACAAAACAAAAGAACAGAAAGCATACCAGATATCCAAAGAAAAGTAAGGCTACAATAAGAGAAGACCACCACAGGAAGAAACAAGTTTAATTTTTACCTCAAGCGAATATATATTACCTCTACCCTCAGGGATCAAGAAACACCGTGAATGACTCACTGCAAGTATGATGGAAAGAACTGCTTTATATGTGCAGTTAAGATGGTAACACTTACTGGCTAGACTTGCACAAAGAAACTGGAGAAAACAGTAATCTAAAAAAATCACCTCTCTCCTTTTCTTACCATAAGCATATTATGTGGATCAATTCCAAAAGTGTCTTCAAATCTCCAATGCCAAGCTTTATAATCGTGGTGCTTAAAATTGATCAAAATATCACTAAGCGCATCATCCACAGCACCCGACTGCCAAGTCTCCTCATTGAGAAACTTGAGGATCTCCAAATACGTTTGTTTTGTAAGGATAATCTCAGCATCGTAATGCACGCTATCTGTGTTTTCCTCAGGCTGAATAAAAGCAAAACAAAACAACGATTAAAAGAAGTCTATTTGGAAATAGATGTAGGCAAGAAATTCTGTATCTCTAAGCAAAATCCTAATTATACACCCTCATTATGACCCGCATCTTTTTGTGACAGACTGCAGGATGAAGGCCGTGGGAAGGAAAGCGCACTGCAGCTCTATCATCTTTTCCAAACAGAAGAACAATATCCAAAGACATTATAATGAAGTAAATAACGACATGATTCTTTTATGCAAACTGCAGTAAGCTACTATGACTGGACAAGTAAAGTGAAAGGTCTAAAACAAAACAAAAAGATCTGGCTTTAACAAACTTAACAACCATTAACATGAACTGAACAGAGTATTACTATAGCTGCATCCCATCAACAGGTATTTAAACTTGTATTCTGAACTCCAACAGTCGTCTTCTGGATGCTTTATGGAGCAGGTGGCAACTGTGTCCCCTCTGAACAAATTCTAGTAACTCGCTAGTAGTAAAACCGGATGCACGTGCTTCCATCTATCATTTTTTCTCTACAGTTCAATTCCCTTCCTTTTAATTTAAATTTAAAGTAGCCCAGAATATGTATTTTTCACTAATATCAAGTATTAATTATTTAAAGTAGGAATTTGAATTTTAATTCATTTTTAATCAGTGTTCAAAATACTTACAAGGCCAAGTTTTCCAGCTTCATTTAAAATCTTATTCAAGTATCGCTTAAAAATATAAAAGCTACGGCTTTCATGTGATATGGCATTCTTCTTCTCACATTCTTCAACCTGCAATGTAAAGACATTGTTAGTTTATTCACTTGTTGTTCAAATCAGCTTGTTTGGAAGAGAACAAAAAAAAAAACCAATGTATTTTAACTACAGATTACCAGATGTACATTTCTATAGTTCAGCAATTATCCTGTGATTAGCACACCAGAAAAAAAATCATACACAGTTGCTGAAGAGTAAGTTTTCAAATTGCTTTTAACAGGACTGGCCAGTATGGAAGATTTCAAATCCATAAATATAGTGGTCTGGGTACTAACCTCAGTAGGACTAGAAGAAATAAAAATTTAAGGAGATCCAGATCTTAAGTTTATATCAGAAAAAAAGATAACTGAAAAAACAACCTAAGTAACTAAAATTACATTAAAATCACATCTCACATTAGGTATCCAAAAGGCTGAGGAAAGTGGGAGTCCTGGTAGCTACATAAGCATCACTGCATCCTTCTGATCTCAAGTGAAGCAGCAGTGTGGGGTCTTAAATTAGCCCAGAGGGCTTCACTGCTACATGAAATCTTTGTACATTATGGTCCTGCCACAAATATACATTTTATACTCCCAACCCACCCGCTTCAAATCTAACAGACTGAAACAATTTAAATGCAAGGTCAGTTTTCTTAGCTTTTTGCACCACGGAGTAACACAACACATTTAAACTACCAACACCGAACAGAAAAATGTAACTGCTACCAAATTCTGTTACACTGTCACAGTGTTCTAGGAAACCGAACTTGTCAGAGCTAACAGCAATTTGGAATCGAGTTCAAACCCCTTTCAGTCTCCCCTGTAAAGTTATCTAAAGAGGTTCCCCTACATAATGCTCAGTTTATCACAAACTATACTAACAATCCACCTCCTCTGTACTATCCAGCGCCTCTGTATCATCAGAAAGCAAAAGTCATAAAAAAGACTGGAAAATATTCTGAAGTTACATAACAAACCTTTTGTCGCAAGGAATCTACCTCCCTGGAGCAACTCGGTAAGTTTTCAGTACTGACTGTATCCATACTCTTATCCTCAGAATCACGATAGCTTACCTAGAATTACCATAAGAGAAACACGTTTTTGTAATCAAATTGTACATAAGAATTTGATCAATACATCCGGTTATACTTTCACAGCCAGGTGACTTGAAAAGGAGCTAAAAACTGATTGTTGGTCGTTTTTGCTAATACCCACCCTAAGAAATTCCAATTGCCTCTCTGTTGTTATTTTAGGCTCCAAACTGAACAACTGCTTTAAGCTCGTCTAAAACTATGCTACCAACAGACAGTGAGGTTTCAGCCTTTCCTTCCCAACCTGCTCTTTCCCCTCCTGTGAGTGTTAGTGATCACATGAGCCACGCAGCGCATCAGATTAGATAACCAGACTGGCTAAAAACTGACTCAGCAAGTAAACGCTCAGTTTTCAGCCAGATAAGATTCCCCATCCAGCCAGCCAGGCAGACTAAAAGCAAACACAAAGCTACGTTCCTTGTTGCCTGCCTTTTCTTTCATGTTCCCTCTTCCCTCTGACACAACCTCCCATTTTGTCCTCCACAAATCGTCCAGCTGCACTTTCAGCAGCGCTTCTACACCAACAGGTATGCATACTGAGGACTCTCCAAAAGAAAGTGCAACTTTTCAGAAATCAGTGAATACATGCTAATTGGGAGTTTTATTTTGAGTGTTAGGCTGGCCTGCACAGCCTGTCTGCCTAAAATCTCTCGTTACAGAGCAGAAGAGAAATCCTAGAAAGAAGGATTCACCTTGAATAGTTATCCTTCTCCTTTAAGATGCAACTCTACTCTCACTGGAGGCAACAATACCACTCCTAAAATTTTCGATTAAAGCAGGTCTGACAAAGATATCGATAGTCCAATAAAATTCCTCAAGGTACATATTTACAGCTGAAAGCTTCCTTCATTGAATATGACTACCGGCTGACTGATTACAATTCCGATTACACTAACTATTGATAAAACATTCACGTCACTTGCAGACAAAATACAGCGATAGAGTCAATAGAGGAGTACATCATACGCTATTGTTACCTTGTTATCTCAAGCTACTGAAGGTTGGGTAGCAAGTTTAAAGCCTCCGAAGGTTGCTGCTGAATTTTTTGGATGCTAATGAGTATCAGGGAGTAGACTTGGGACAGGGGGAGGAGGAACACAGTGAAGAAATGATGCTGTTCGCATGTTTGCATTTCTTTAAGCTCCAGAAAATTAGGTTCTAAAATATGTTAAACTACATTATTCAAGACTGCAAAACCAAACCTGAGAGCTGAAAAATGCCTATGCAGCAACAGTTCGCAGTACCATAAACTGGCAAGTATTGTTGTACAAATAATATGTATCTCATGATATATATGTATGAGACTGCCCACTTCTCATGCAAGACAATTGATTCAACTTATTACAATTAACTTTTCAATATTTCATCTTCTTCTCAGTGTTCATGGATTGTTAACAGTACAGCATTCAATGCCTACTCTGAATTTCCTCCGGAAAACTCTGATGCCCAGCACCACCCTACCAGAACTTATACAGACCATGTACCTTCATGACACTCTCTCACCCCGTGAATGGGGTTTGTTCCTGTATTAGTGGGGGAACTGGATCATTCAAGTCAAAAGTAATCATTAATTTGAATACCCCAACTTTTATCAGATAGGAACTTAATTTTCAAAATATTTAGCACTATGTTTGAGAAATTAGCAAGAGGTGTTTAACCCCGTGCTTCCGCTCAGGGAAGCGATTGTGGAGGCACAACCAGTCAACCACCGCTTGTGAAAAGCTAGAAAGTATGATTTCTGTGACTTACGAGCGAGCAACAGAAACTCATCAGTAAAAAGCACTAAGGTAACTATCTACAATAGTTCACCGTTAAGGCAGCTGAATTCTTTCTCTTCCAATTCTCTGCTTCGTTTAAGGCATGCTCATCCACGCTGCACCTACATTAAGCAAAGAGGTAGTCTAACAAATAACAGCACCCTCTACCACCCAAGTCAGTGTTTTGTAAGGCATAGAGCAAGAAAGCCGTACTTTTTCTTCCAATTTTTAACAAAAGACATATTCTTATAAAGTTGCATCATAATCTATAAACACAAAAGAACTGTAAGATAAAAAGTCCCTAATTCTACCATTTCCTAATATCACAATTGTAAAGGTAATCTTTTAGCAGGGTTTGGCAGGGGGATATTATGGGGAGAGACATATACGCATGCACTTTTTCCACCTTGTAAGGTCTTCTCATTGTTCCTGAGGCTGCATCATAATTGAGCATATCTGTGGGGTCAATCCACTCATCATCTTGCACTTCGCCATTTCCTACCAGCAAAGCTGCCCACAGTAGCATGGCAAGCAGCATCCTGTATTGCTGAATATAACAACACATTCACAGGTTCAATGCAGGCTGAAAAGTGCTGTGTGAAAATTGAAACAATCTTACAACACGAAACAAATGTTTACCAATGTCGTTTAAGAACTCAGCTCTCCATAAAACAGGTTAATCTTAACTTGTATCAAATTTTTCCAAAGAAAACGCTGAAGAATAAAGAACATACAATAATAAGGAACATGCAATAATTAAACAGTAGTAATTGACCAGACCCTTCTAGCTAGCTAGAATTATTAGCTGAGATACTAGCTGCTATACGAGCACAGTTCAGCATTACCAAGTATGATAAAACAGTACAGAATTCTCCGGACTTCAAGATAATGCAAAGGCGGCATTTTTACAGCAATTCGTCTGGCAGGCCCTGATGAAACATCGCTGCCTTCACTGCGGTGACCGCGGGCAGGAAACCTGCGTTATCCGCGCGAGCTCCGCTCCGCACACTCCAGCTCATACACCAGTATCTTTGCTGTGTCCGCCGGAGGAGCTGCCCCGGCACTAACGAGGCCTCCTCGGCCGCACAACGCCCGCTCAGCTGCATGGCGCAGCCGCGCAAGTTACCGTAACACGACGAGAAGCGTTCGTCTTTGTTCGCGTCCGCCCTCTTTAAACCGCCTTCCCCTCCTCTCCCGAGGCACTGCTCTTTCCCACAAGCTCGGAGCGGGCCGGCGCCGCGGGCTCCGAGGC